GACTTAACCACAGGGCTTCGTATTCAATTACAGGCTCCTTATTAGGTTACAAAAGCTAAAATCTTTCAATTTTGCCTTCAGCCGAACTTGAACCATTGACCTTGACTGTGGAGGGTATGGGAGCTTAACCACTAAGCTATGGGACCCACACCCCTATTCTATTATGCTTTGTGTCTTAATAGTTATTGATAATCACAACAGTTTACGTCTAGTAGCAACTGCAGTTATTTCAGATAAGACAACAGAAACTTTCTCATGGATTTTAGAAAACTTGCTCAAGGCAACAAATAGTTTAGCATCAAAAGTACTATTTACAGATGCTAATTGTGCTATAGTTGCTGCTATAAGTGCAACATTACCAACTACAAAACATCATTTTTGTCTTTTTCATATACAAAAAAATCTTGAAAAAATTTTCTGAGTATGTATAAAGGTGAAAAGTGAGGAGAATTTTTTAGAGAATTTTGCTATACATGAAATAGCCATTTGGAATCTATATTTGAGAAATGTTGGAGAGATCTGATACAAAAGTATCCTGAATCAGCATTATATATAGAATGACAACTTTATCTCTGCCGGGAAGCATAGGTGCTTTGTTTTACATATAGGTCATTTAATGCCAGTATACAAACTACTTAGCAGGTTGAATTATACAATGCTATTATAAAAAAACATGTCAATAGCTCTTTGTCTCTATTTGAATTGAGTAACACAATTGAGAGGTTACTTATTAAAGAGGATAAGTATCAACATTTTAATAAGGTTAAAAGTGTACTGCTAGTGATTCATAATGAAAATTATTGTGATAGATATTTTAAGTTGGTTGATGAGTCATGTCAAAATTTTTGACAGTAGGAATTCTTAAAATTCAGCGTTGTAAAATGTACCACAGTATCTATTGTCGAGTACAGCTAGTCAATTTGGTGGATGAATTTCAATGTCAAGTATATTTTCTATGTTAACATAGTTTATACTACAAGTTCTCATTAATAGTATAGGAAAGATTTATTTGTATTTGTTTTGTATTACTTGTGTGAATAAATAATTAAATTATTATCTGCGATTATATTCGAATAGAATTTGTTAGGTTAAAACTGTTTTTTTTTTTAGATAGCCAATGAAATATCAACTGGAATGTTCACTGACAATATGTTTAATGCATTTGTCATTGAACTAAAAAAACTAATTAATGACTTAGACTATGAATGTATTTATGAAATTTGGAAAGTTTCATTTATCGACACAAAGAGCCAGCATTTTGTAGTTTTATACAATAAGGCAATGCATCTTTGCACCTGTTTGATACTAATTAATTATAGAGTTGTTTGTCAGCACTTCTTCATGGTGATGCTAGTATTAAAAGTTGCAAAATTTCATATCGAACTTATATCTAATAGATGGTTTTTGGACAAGATAGTGTGTGAAAAAGATATATATGTTGCAAATCAGCCAGCGATTTTAGCAATATATAATAATAATTTTGGATCATTTGAACATTGTATTTATGTCAATTTTGAGCATATTGAAAAAATTCATAGGAGTCATGTTTTTATCAATAATGTTCACAAAGAAATATTATTTAAGCAATGATAGGGCAAAGAATTCGGCATTATGAAAAAGATTCTCGATTTATCAATTGCAATAGGGCAGATGAAAAGTTATATGAAATGCACCTTGATCTAATGAAAGAAATGGAAATGGAACTCAAGACAGACAATAATCATAATAATTTTATAACTACGATTAACAATCCTGTTGGCATTCATTCCAAAGGTCAAAAACGAAAGAATGCAAATTTGGATATACTTAAGTTAAAAACAGGCAGCACAATTCAGGTAAATCATAATGATACATTGAATACATATAGAAAACAAATGCAAGATATTACAAACCAAGAAAGTCTAGAAAGCTGATCTCATCATTGTGGTACTTGTGGCCAAATAGGGCACAATACACGTACATGCAATTTGGATAGTTCAATTAATCAGATAGACAGTACGCAGGGGAATTATATTGAGAATTCAAGTTTATCAAGCATAAGTAAGTTAAAATTTTGCATTATTCAAAAAGAAAATGATAACATTAATGCCAATTATTATATATTGCAGCTGACAAGAATCTTAATCATAAGAATACATTGCATCATTGTGGAATATGTGGTCAAAGTGGCCACAATGCTCGTATATGCAATTCAGATAGTAAAAACAAACCAAGCAATAATATAGTTGAAGATTATTTCATTGATTAGAAAAATATCAATAGTGTTAAAAATTCAGATTTAATAAGCATAGGTAAGTTTAGATTTATACTATATCATTAAAACATAAATTATTAGCATGCTAATAATTGAATTTATGTATTTAGTTGACAAAAATTCAATCATCAATAGGCTTCGTCATTGTGGTGCTTGTGGACAAGCAGGTCATAATACTCATACATGTAATTCTAAAAATTAGTATGTAAGTATTATAATAATAAGCATATTGTATATCGATATTGTGTATCGAAAGTATTTGAATTTTATGCTATCATGTGTTTGTCACATTTATGAACTTCCTGTATTGATATAATTAATGTTTGCTTGATACAAATGTATGTATATATTTATTGGATTTTCTTTTATTGGTTACATGTATATCTACATGTGTTTGTATAATTACCTAATACATATTTCTTTGGTGGTTTTCAATTTGTTACGTAAATTGACTATCTAAGAAGTTGTATAATAGGATATTATTAAAAAAAGCACTACAGGTAAACTGTCCATGAGTGCTGTGAAGCAGCACTTATGGGCAATTATATTAAAACTTGTAAATATAAAATCTTCAATGAGAAAAATGCCTACTCTAACCGACTCTCAAGAACCAGATACCTATGACATAGACTACTACTATTCTAAATATAAAGACCGCCACGGAGTTGGGCTTCAAGAAGCTAAACCCCAAGCTCTAAGAGTCCTTCCACCAGCTGCTAAACCAGACTACTGCGATGATAAAAAACAACAACATTACTTTAAAGTCCCACTACAACCTGCAATCGCAACCTGCTTTTGTGGCAAATTTCATACAAGCTTTACTTCTCGACACTACAAAATTACTCATGCTACTACAATTGGCCAACCTATTAACCCAACTCAAACTCAAATTAGAAATACTATCTCTTCACAAAGTTTTAAAAAAACTGAAGAACTACCAGCCTCACCTGTCCCTAAATTAACCAATCAAACACAACCTTCTTCATCCTCAACAGCATGTGTTCTTTTTCCAAACTTTCAAACAGACCCAACTCCTATAGCTATAATCGCATATTCTCAACATTACCATACTTGTTTTCTTTGTAAACTCAAAAACATCTAATGTGTCTTTACTGACAATCAACAAAACCATGCTCCAGACTACACAACAGCTTGCATCTTCAAAAATTCTTTAATTCATCATACTTGCATACCACATATCATAAATCTTAAACTCAAAATTAAACCAACTGAACTAATAACTCCACTTAACTCTAATTAAAAGAAAGTAATCATTCTTTATAAACTTAGTATTATGTCAGCAAAAGACAAAATCCAATTATACAAATCTATTTTCCAAAAAAAACCAACCTCCAAACACTTTACCAAAGAACAAAAGCAAAAACAAAAACAAACATCTAGAGATACTTCTAATGACCTTGATTGGTTCAAA